CTCCAGATGAATGATGCTGCCGGGGCTGAGCACAGTCTCCCTTCTGCTTTCAGTGGGAGTAAGGGGTGCCCATCATCCAGCAGGATCTAGCCCTTGAGGAGAGGTGGGAGCTGGGAAGGGGAGGGCTTTTTAATATGGTGCATCACTCACTGAGGAAGTCAAAGGTGGCCTCAGCATGTGGTAGGATGCAGGATCTGATGGTCCATCTTGCCTTGCACATGCAAAGCTCGTTTGCACCTAATCCTCAGGCACTGGTCTCACTTTTGGCTGTACAGACAGACCCGACACACGGTCCTCCTTGTGCTGGGGTGTCAGGTCCTGTTCCAGACAGTCGGTAATTCCATCAGACCCCGAGACTGTTGCTGGTTTCTTTCCAAATCTAAAAGTGAATGAAGCAGCAGTGATTTTCTGGTTCCTGGGCTCCATCCAGCAGCCTTTCTTCCAGCTCGGGCCAAAGCCTCAACCCAGCCACAGGCCAAGGCACATTAGTTTGTTGACATCTGCTGTCAAATTCCCTCCCACATTTGCATTGTGCAGCCAATGTGATTCGTGCTGTTCAAAGATGAAGGTAACTCCTGCTTTAGTGGTGACCCCAGTGACAGAAGTGTAAAGATTTGTCTTCTGCCCTCTCATGCAGTCTCAGCATGGTGCTGTAGGGACAGGACAAGGGGGAATGGCTTTAACCTGCCAGAGGGGAGACTGAGATGAGCTCTGAGGCAGAAGCTCTTCCCTGGGAGGGTGCTGAGGTGCTGGCACAGGGTGCCCAGAGGAGCTGTGGCTGCCCCATCCCTGGCAGTGTTCAAGGCCAGGTTGGACACAGGGGCTTGGAGCAACCTGCTCTAGTGGAAGGTGTCCCTGCCCATGGCAAGGGGTTGGAACTGGATGATCTTAAGGTACCTTCAACCCAAACTAGGCTGGGATTCTATGATTATGATTTTATGAGTGGCTCCTGCAGGATGAGGTGTTGAGGACAGTATTTCCTCAATTCAGTACATGTCATTGTAAGGAAAGTAGCGCATATCAGTGCTAGCCAAATGTTGTCAGCTCCTAGCCACATGCATGGTCAGCCTGGTAGATCCTGGGTCAGAGGGATGGGGAGGTATTACCCTTCAATACCTGATCACCCTTCCCCAGAGGGAGCTCAGGCATTGGAACAGGCTGCCCAGGGCAGTGCTGGAGTCACTGTCCCTGCAAGTGTTCACAGCCCGTGGAGCCAAGGCCTCAGTGCCAGGGGTTAGTGGTGGCCTTGGCAGCGCTGGGAACGGTTGGGCTGGATGAGCTTAAAGGTGTTTTCCTTCCCGGTTGATTTTATGACTCTATGATTTTGGGCATCCCTGTGGTCCAGGATACACAAGACACTTATGGATGCTTTAGGGATGCATTGCATTTCTTTATA